GTAGTAGTAGTAGTACACAAGGTGATAGCAGTCTTATTTATATTATAATAAACCAAGAGATATCATTATGTTGGAAACCATGGAGGTTAAAATAAATTTTAGCATCATTTTATATGATTTGATAAATATATTTTTGTATCAATATTAAACTCATCGGTGATGATGGGGTTGGTGTAGGTGCACCACGAAGGACGTGCCAGTCCCTGCCAGTAAAGGAGGTAACCATTGTAACAATCTGTAAGATGGCCACGCCCTGACTTCCCCTGACTTAGAATTAAAATCCAATAACACTAAAAGGTTATTTTTTGTTGTATTTTTGCATGTAGCACCCACATTAAGTGAAGACGAGGATGACGGCAATGAAGATGCTTTAGCATGGGATGACTCGGCTATTCCTGTTGGTGGTGGTAGTACTCCAGTTACTGGGTCATTTGTACCTGCCATTGGTGGTCCTTTTTCTGCACTAACACCAAGTATGTGGCCACAAGACATACTATCTAGGATWCAACAGGTGATGTTAAATACATAAATGAAACTTGTTGTACATTGTATAGTGTTAATATACACCTATTTCAGAAATCATTGTCGCACCAAAAGCCTCAAGCAACAAGCCAAGACTGCAGAGAACACCGATACTTTTAGCTGTATTTAGTTTATTCATGGTGCATTTTCATTTATTGACTTCACAATTTACTCCAAGCAAGGCTGTTTGAGATGATAATTAGTGGAGAGCTATGGCCACTTGCATGAACCATGAATAAATAAATTATAATTAAAAGTACCGACGTTCTCTGGAGCCTAGGCTTGTTACTTGAGGCTCTTGGTGCGACAACGATTTTCGAAATAGGCGTACATGTAATGTTTTAGGAACAGGTATAGCTTGGTTGGTTAGTGTGTGGCCTTCAGAGCTAGAGATCCATAGCCTGTAGTAGATATTGAATTATTATATGATCGATATCATAGTTATGATGATGATGAATGCAAAAGCATAATAACATTTCTCTACGATGATGATGATGTTGATGATTGAAAATGTTGCTGATGGTGGTGATCATGATGATGGTGATGGTGTTAAGATGATGACGGTGGTGGTGATGTCGTTAAGATGATGGTGGTGGTGGTGATGATGATTGAGGCTATGATGTTGATGATCATGATGGTGTGATGATGATGATGGTGATGATGATGATAGTGATGGGTATGACAGTGATGATTGTAATCTTATTGCATCACCTAATGATTTCATTAACAGACAGAGGATTCAGGTAACAGACCAGAGGGACAATATGACGAGTTTGGGTTCATCATGGATGGAGGTAAATATATAGTRACCAAGATGTTTATTAAAAKTAATCATTTAGTAAACAAGTMATATATTAYTTTACCTGTAGCCCTGTTACTATAAAAGATAATACAATTCAAAGATAAGTTTCTATAAGCTGATTAAAACTTAGCAATAATTTTAATTTGATTAAAGGTCATGCAGAAACTTGATTCTACACATGCTTCAAAGATATTTGCAATAATTGTTGTAAACTAAACACTTGACATTATTTTTTGCAAATTTTTTTCTGAAAACTGAGCTTCAAAGAAATGATTCTTAATTTATTAAAGTTGAAGGGTGATAACCCCCCAATTTATTTCATTTTCCCCCGATGTTGTGCAATATATGTCTTAGCATCTAATAATGATAATAATAATACTGGACTTTTTTTAGCAGATTTAGAGCATGAGTACAAAGACCCTGATCCAGGGAACTTTGTAACCAATGAAGATGAAGGGTTGCGTCT